GAACTTAACTTGCCAAAGCGTGGTACGTGAAATGCTACGATTGTTTTAAAGGTATAAGATGGTTGTTGCCAGCACTGAAAATTGGTACGTGCCGTAACGAATCGAATCAAGTAACTCAACGTGACGTACTATTCAGCGCTGTCTGGGGACGAGGGAGCTCGTGTATCAAGAAAACTTGCGCGAGTAATATAGTACTTGATAAAAGACAATCTTGTATGTTGTAGATAAGCCTTATCCGATAATGTATGGAATTCCTTTGATTAACTCACCTTGTGGTTCAGGAGACCAAAAGAAAACATGCCTGCTCCAAATAGAAGCGCCTTCAAAACCAACAGGATCAACAGGTTCGTCAAATTAAGGCTCAGCACCTGAAAGCAAGGTACGAGTATCCATTAAAGTTTGAGAAGAAAAAGAAACAAGAACCTAATACAATTGGAAGTGCTAATTAACATAAAATATTATTCTTCTTATCCTATTAGCATGGCTATAAGAAGTAAAACCGGTTGTCCCACGTTGTACATTTATTGCGCGTAAAATATCCAGAAACCTAAAAGAATCCCCTGAACTAAATTTAAACTGTCCGTTTCGTCGCCTCCTTATTCTGCTAGATGGCAAAAGGATGATAGCGAAATGTACGTGGTCACGTGGGACTGATGACCTGATCTTCACCTTGTAAAATTAGTCATCATTAGCCCATTAATTCCCATTGCCCCCAAAATTGGGAAGTCAACATCAACGTATTTTTCCTTATCTGTAATAATTCTATTTATAATTTTATTCCTTCAACGGCCGCAGACATCTTAAAATATTATATAAGCAAGTTTCTGAATGCTAGATGTTGTTTTCGCCGAGCTCGCTAAATCATTATACGCATCTGATCAAAGTGTATTAAAGATTAGTTTACGTAAGTAGTATTAGTACGTAGATTAGGTTACGTCCGCACATAAGTTGGCGGGGCATAAGCAACAGAAATCTAACAACTTTGCATTAGTGTGTTTAAATAAACAGCAGTTTCAAGCGAATGAATGTGAATTGCTCGGCTTGCCTGGCTGTTGGTGTCGTAACCCACTTCTTAAAACTCGAAAATAGAATTGAATCGAAGCGAATGAAAGTGAATTTCTCGGCTTGCCTGGCTGTTGGTGTCGTAATCCTCTTCTTAAAACTCGAAAATCGAATTGAATCTAAGCGAATGGAAGTGAATAGCTCGGCTTGCGTAGCTGTTGGTCTCGTAACCCACTCTTAAAATTCAAAATGGAATAGAATCTAAGCGACTGAAAGTGAATTGCTCTGCTGAAATTGTTACCCACTTCTTAAAACTCGAAAATCGAATTGAATCTAAGCGAATGAAAGTGAACTGCTCGGCTTGCCTGGCTGTTGGTCTCGTAGCCCACTTCTTAAAACTCGAAAATCGAATTGAATCTAAGCGAATGAAAGTGAATTGCACGGCTTGCCTGGCTGTTGGTCTCGTAGTTGCTGACGAGCTGCCGCGCCAGTTGCGTGAGCACGCTGCGGCCCAGCGCCCCTAGCGACGCGGCCTTGGGCTCGCGGCCGCCGCCCCCGTCCTCGCCGTCCACCGCGTTGCCCGCCTCCGCCTCCGCCGCCGTCGCCGCCCCCAGCGCCGCCAGCAGCACCAGCGCCGCCGCAACGGCCCGCCAGGGGGAGCTGCTAAGCGATCTCTGCATCTGGGAACACACAAGTGAAAAGACGGTATTGGGGAGCCGGTGTTATCGAACATAATACCCAAGAGGTTGCCAAAATATTGCAGCATTTTAATGATCTGCGTGAAATTAATTAGTTTTTTCATTCTGTGAAATTGAATTGAATTGGCCTTATTTTACGTGGCGAGACTCGGGCCATCAGGACCGCTCTTCCGTCTGACCACGCA